CACACAACCGGTCATCACTTGTTTGATCCCAATCTTCGTTAAGAAATGTCGAAAATGTCTTCAATCAATCATTTCGGTCGCCGAAAGCAGAGCCGCGAGAGTCCCATCAGTTTTGTCCAAATCGATGGACTCGTAAGTCATGTCATGTCTTGTCATCGCATGTGTTGTTGAATAACCATTGAATCCAATGACAGGTGATTCTGAAGATCATAAAACACTGTCACGAAGAGGGCAGCGGTGCCGGCGAAGTACAGGGCGTCCTCTTAGGTCTTGTTGTCGATAATTGGCTCGAAATCACGAATTGCTTCCCATTTCCACGCAATTCAGAAGAGGACGAAACCGACGAAAGTATGCATTGAATTGATCCGCCATTTGATGATATGATTTGTATGTAATGTGTGTTTGTATTGAACCTCTCAGTGGAGTACCAGTGCGTTATGATGAGACACCTGAGGAATGTGAATGTGGATCACCTGCACGTGGGATGGTATCAAACCAATCCATACGGCAGTCAAATAAGCAAATTGGAGACAATAGACTCGCAATACATGTATCAGTCGGCTATCGAGGAATCTGTTGTCATATTTTACGACCCGATCCGCACTTCGCGCGGCTTTTTGTCGGTAAAGGCGTATCGATTGACAAACGTTGCGATGAAGTTATGCAAAGAGGGAGAGTTCACTGCAGACACACTGAGGACTAATCACATGTCTTTCGATAAGTTCTTCGAAGAGATTCCGGTCGTCATAAAGAACTCGCATTTGATTAACGCTCTGCTGTGCGAATTGGACTCAGAAATGCCCGTCGATTGCGGCAAACAATTGCTAGATATGGGAGGCTTTGGTGTCTTAGAGAAGACAATGCAGTCGCAGATGAAATGCGTGGAAGAAGTGAGTAAACACTCGAATCACTTGAGACAACAGACGGCTAAACAGCAACACGTGTCCAAAGAGAACGCTATGAGAGCACAGAGAGGCGAACCGCCGCTCAACGAAGAAGAAGTGAACAAAATCCTCAAACCATTGGCTCCATTACAACGTCTGGAATCGCTTCTCAATTACAGCCAAACGTTGAATTATTGCCAGCAATCGGCCGCTTATTCAACACAAAACATCTCCAAACTATTTATGGCTAAAGCCTTACAATCAAACACTTCAACTCAAGACAAATAAATTATTGAAGTATTAGTTTAATTACTTGTTTTGTAATCTTCTCTCAAATTACTTTTATTTTCAATCATTTATAAATTACAGTATGTTTTTGAATTAAATTAAATTACAAATAAATATTGAATTTGTATTTGACTTAAGGAAGAATTTTATTTACATAAATATATTAAATTATATAATAATTATATTTTGTAAAAATGTTTTGCAACGGAAAACATTTGTTACGTTTAATTGACTAGATTTGCACTCATCTCCACATTTATCATAGAGTTTATGATCAAATCATTGAGAAGTTTGTTAAAATATTTGCTAATTATTATATACAATGGAATGTTTAAGTGTATAGAGTTCTATCAGTTAAGACAGAATGTATAGTAATATTGTTTTAAGATTTACATACAAGGTATTCAAATTAGGTCTACAAAAGTAATTAGAAATAGTTTTAAGTACTGGAATCAAATCGAGGCTTAAATTAAACATTTTACCCTATATTATAGGTTATTAATAACACAGTTATTGTGATATTGTTTTGTATAACGTTTAGTTAAATTAGAGAATTAAGTAATAAAAAAGTTTAAGAATAAGTTTCGAAACAAATGTAAAGAAATAAATAATGTGAACAGAAATACACTAAAAGAGGCAATTTTGAAGTAAAACGTTTCAAAGTTCTAGAAATGGTGTTTTCGATGAATTGTTATAAAAGTTCCACAAGTTATGAGAATCCACACAAGAGTACATCGAATGATTAAAATGAGTGGTAATTGAATTGTTTTTATGGCAATTAACCGGTTGTTCCCTCACTTGACATCTGTTTTTGTTGTGCTCTTCTCTATTGGTTCTCAAATACATTTGAATAGCGTTCGGAAGGTTTAGCTCTTTCACATCACTCTCACTGTTGAGACTTTTAAGTATAACATGTCTGCATCTGTACAACAATATTCAAATCATATGTGAATTAAAACTTTCAATTTAGATTCAGTTTGTATGATATACGAGACATACCTGTCCTGCAGATTGTAATACTCGCGCCGCATATTGTTGACAGTCATCTCAGTCTTAGCTGCGGTGGAGCTGATGATAGGATACAACTCTTCTCGGATTAAATGAAGTCCAGTGAAAGCGATGCCCAGAGAAATGCCATCTTTGAAATAAGTTAGAGTCCCTTCTTTAGAGTCAAAGAGTAGACCAATGGTTGTGGACTCGTTCTCACGGAATGGTCGGGTGAATGACTGCCACCGGCCGTTATGCCACAGAAGACCCTTATGTGAGCTTTAAATAGAGCGCAAAAGTGGTGGTCAATGAGAGGCAGGACTTTGAAACTTATGGCAAACAATTAGTGGAAAGAATGCTAAAAATAACTTACAGTCCAAAGCTGTGCTGGTCTTCGCCTATTATGTTGAGAAAGGAGTCGGCATGAAGTCTGGATTGTTTAGTGGCCACACCAAACATCATACTTGTGCCAAATATACGATCACAAATGTCAATCTAATTGAGAGTGAGAAGTGTTAATGAGCTTTTTGTTTGTAACCAAACACTATCTCAACTTTACTGTAAGTGAGAGTTCTAACTGAAAAGAGTAGATAATATAATGTAGGAATGGATTGTGTACTCACTTCCCAATAAAAGCGAGCAGAGGATCGGTTGAGTGGTTTGGATGCGCGGACGGCCGCAGTCCCGTTACTCCACTTCGGGTGGAAGTGAGCCGTTCTCTTATCGGGTCCGCACAGCACTACCTAATCATACAGAGAGTGCACAACATATTCATTAAAGTAATTCAATTACAAATGCATTACTGATAAGCATATGGAATATAGAGAGGAAGGCAAACCTCGTTAGACTTATCATCGCTATCCCACTCCCAGTTGTCTTCCAATCCGTATCGCAACGGAATCGTCGCGTCTTTACGTTTCACTTTTTTCATGTGATTTTCAATCATTTTGTACTTTATATTACATTTTTAGTGTGTTTTAAGAGATGACTGAAATATAATCAAAGAAAAAACATTTTATATGAATTTTTAGTTATATTCTAAAATAACAGTTACATGTATGCCATTCATATTATATCCTCAAACCATAAACTATAAATGATAAAATTATTTAATTTGTTTTCAACTATAAAACTAATGTTTGCAACGGATGGTAAAAATGCATAAATTATTTGTGATATATGTTTGCAAAGACCACATCGGCGTCGATCCCAACCGAAAAATGTTGGTATTTAATGAAATGAGTGGATGTCTGACCGTTAGGAACGGCATATCATTATCAATAAACGGTTATGTGATTCAATAGATTACAGATACAGCTGTCAGTACATTATAAGATACATCTGAACGAGTTTTCTATATTCCCATAAAACACCACTCATTCACTCATTGGAGTACAACTGCACGCAATGCTTCACTATCGGCATCCCATCCCCCGCATCACAATCCTATGCATAGCCTATGCATAGCCTATGCATTCCCTTTCAATTTATGTAAACTTATTGTTACATAACTTTTTTACTGCGCTTTTGTATGCATATATTGCTGTAATGCATAACAGTTACACTTCACCGGAATTTCTCTGCTATAGTTTTCCTTTTGATATTATGTTTTAATATAACGAATATATGTAATAAAACTAAATTAATTATTTGCTTTTCTAGACGAATGATGTTTGTATTTATTCAGATTTCAATATCAAGCACGAGAGAGAGAGAGAGAGAGAGAGAGAGACTGGTGGGGAACACACAATCAAAAAGCGAGCAGAGGATCGGTTGAGTGGTTTGGATGCGCGGACGGCCGCAGTCCCGTTACTCCACTTCGGGTGGAAGTGAGCCGTTCTCTTATCGGGTCCGCACAGCACTACCTAATCATACAGAGAGAGAGAGAGAGAGAGAGAGAGAGATGGAAACCTTATTGAAAGTTTTAGTCTTTTCTTAGATTTTGGGTATTTTATAAACTTCTTTAGTAGCAAACAATAAAAGGAGAGCTACTATTGAATGCGAGTCCCATTGATATAACTTTCACTTTTTTAGAGCAACACTACTGTTGAGTGGTATTGAGAAGAGGGATAGAGAAGTGGTATAATATGGGATACTATGGATAGAATGGTAGTACTGGTAGTACTGGTCTCACCCCCGCCAGTGTTAGTCTGGCTGATGGAGCGGTCATAGAAAAATGTGTGATAGAGTACAATACCCTTAATTGAACAGCTGTCTGATCGCAGGCTTACGGTGTGGTAGACTCTGCTCTACATATAACATAACATTTACTGCAAAACCAGAGTAAAACACGCGACACGCGCTTCGCCTACCAATGCATTGCTCCCAAACCCCCAGACAGTTGGCATCGGATGGGGTCTTATGGTTATGGCTTACGCCTAAACACAGGGAACAGCAGTTCACTACCACCTGATTGTGTGTTCCCCCACCAGTCTCTCTCTCTCTCTCTCTCTCTCTCTCTCTCTCAGCTGCGACACCGATAACACAACCATAAGGTTGTGATCATCAAAAATCGCGGTCTTAACTGATCACTGGTCACGAGATATGTCTTTCTGATCAATGACTTTAGTTATCGATGAGTTCAGACATTATCTTCTCTAACGGTTCCGCTTTTAAATGACTCAAAATGTCATAATTAGTAGCGTTTAAGTAATTCTTATCATTTGTAACACATTTTCACTGAAAACAACTGACAGAAAAAGTTGTCTCAAAAAGTGATCATTAAATTTAGTAAACATTTTTCAATCAAATCATAAGAAAAATGTTGTTTTCGTAAACATAACAACAATTAGGTTTGGATTCAGAATTAAAACAACGAAAGAATAATAATTTACTTACAGTTAGGATAGAGTTGTGATCACAAGAAGTGATTAAAACAAGAAGTGATGAGAAAAACTAAAAATTGAAGTTTTAGTGAAAAATGAAAACGAAATGAAACTAAAAAGAAGTGAAACGAAGAGATGTGGAGACGAGAGGAGACTCAACTCAATTGCTTGAGTCATACATCGAATCTGAGGTCAGAGTGAGAGCGCGTGCAGTACTGCCACTACTCCTATGCAAAGCCCTGTATATCCCCTCTCGTGTGTAGACACGCGACACGCGCTGTGTGTTAGGCGTTGGGCTTAAGGCACAGACACGTGCCCTACACTGACGTCAGTGTTTGCCATTCATATACAATACACTCTCGTATTGAATGAATACGAGTGTGCGGACACACAGTATGTACGCCGGGTTTGTTACCCTTAAATCAACCAAATCCCAGCCCTTAGTACTAGACGACAACTACAACAGTATAATACATACTCTACTAGTCTTTTGAAATACATTTTCTAAACGATAAAACTATTGGAAAGCATAGACTCTATGCCATAGACTGCACCCGCTTTTTGACACACAATACAATTGTCTCTAACGGATAAATAAATGTAATTTCTTTTTTGCCACACATTTTTCTCGTGTGTTTTTTATGCTCCAAAATCAATGCCGATGTCGTTGTGCTTAAACTGTTTGCATTTGATACCCGATATAAACCGTTAGATTTAAGAGAGCAAACAATACGTTAGATTCAATGAAAGCATATTTAATCGGAGAAAAAATTTATCGTTTTAAAGAATTTCAAAGATTTGGTTAAATGTTATAAAAAATATTTCTAACGAAACATATTTTATGCAATTCAGCGAAAATATTCAATACAATTGCATTCATTTTAACCGAAATATCACAGATATTCTAGTTTTGGTATATAATTGCAATTGATGTACAATACTGTATTATCTAATAAATTATTAGTAATAATATTACTGTTAATGCATTTACTATATTATACAATCTATATTGTATGTATTGTGAAATCTTATCGAGTAAATATATATACTTTATATTAGTAGAATAAATAGGTTAATCACATAACCAATACGGCTTGTTTAGACCATATTAACTAGATTATTCAATAAACTACAAAATGAAAGCATTATGACTCATCAAATAGACAATGCAAACCCAATCTTCTTCTAAATACGTTTAATATAATAATAAATATAATTAAAAATTAGTAATATTTATAAATACCTGTTAAATGTGAAGAATTAATATTGAATTTAAATTGTTGCCAACATTTGTGTTGATATGATTTGGAGCACAGAATCCATTGAATGCAATGAGTAGTGATATAATGGATAATAAGCCACTGCTTGACGACACGATTCAATCGATTCTGTGCTTTGATTCCTCGCGTAACCCTTGGATACAATGGTTTGCATGAGTTTTGTGACCAAATCTGCTCATTAATCGCTCTGCGAATCTATCGTTGGAATCAATTATTTTTAATTTGAATTCTATTTAAAACAGACGATAGACGAGAAGCGACTCATTTTTGGGCAAAATATACGATCATATTTTATATACGATAGTAATTCACGAATCAAATCATCTGCTCGTTATGGCATTCACTCATATATTAAAATATCTGATTTTCAATACTCACTTCTCAGCTGCTCTTCATTTCACTCTCACTTGAAAAAAGTTTCTCTAGAATAATAGAGCGAAACATTTTAAAACTATTTGATAACACTCTTTGCGATTAACAAATTACTAAATATGAAATCTAAACATTAACTTTCAAGTTCTAGTATAAGTTCAAATATAATATGAATAGCAATTGAGAGAAAGTTGTGAAAAACTGTTAAAATAACTTAAATATTATCTGAAATATTGCAGTATTGGACAGGAATATGATTGGCGCAAATCTAACTGTTATAGATGAGTTTGTGTAACAAATAATGAGCCCGCAGTATTTGCTGGTCCCAGCATATTGTGGGTATTTGTCGGGTGTTTTTTCATGTGTGGGATGCTTTGCAACTCATTATAAGTATTGGAGATCTCTTATCATTGAAGCAAATATACAGAAATTGATTAAAACAGCTTTAAATTCAGCTGAAAAGCAATGGTTCCGTACGAGTGAATACTCAAATGCATTATCAAAAATATTTTCATGTATTCGCATATAATATTATGCAACAATTGTTGATCCAATTGAACACATCATAAACCATCTGCTATTCAAAAGTGTTGAAGTGTGGCTCATATTTGTATGCATTTGATGTGTGAGACCTAAACACTAAAACCGAAATCAACTTATTATAAGGTTATGTTGAGTTCACTCATTGAAAAGGTAGGCGCAGGAAGTCTTTGTTACATTCAGTTTCCCTAATCTTTATGCAATTGGACTGCTATTGATTTTGAACGGAAACTCTTATTCTCTACAATTAGTGCAATAGTTTATGAAATTTATGAATACATTTCTATGAATTCAATCGTGAATTTGGTTTTCATAAACTTTCACTCTATGTTTCAAACAATTTTATGCCGAATACGCGTAAAGAGACTCTTTTGTGTAACATTTGAGAAATGAATTTAAATGATTTCACATTGCATTTCAATTGCCCTAAAATTCAATTTTGGTTACAAATAGTTTATTAAAATATCAAACACTATAAACACTATTATCGATATGAAAGTTATGTTAGTTTCTCTTCAATTTGAATAACGTTTTCACTTTTAACAATAAATTCTCTTTCGATCACTAAATAACCTGTCATTTGATGAAAGGGAGAGGATTTGAGCGATAGAGCACATCACCCAATGAACAGCACTCTAACTGTACTCTAACTGTACTCTAACTGTACACTATTCCCAGTCTTACTTCTAATTTAGTGCTCAAAACAAAAAGCAGATGTGCTCTCAAACTAATTGTATTGCCATTTAAAATGCAAATCCAATAATACCTGGACCACTGTTGACAATGAAATAACTCATTAGAACTCTTATACTGTACTTCGTATGTGTTATAGTTATGAGAAGCCTATAATATAGGCTTTAATACACAGCTTTAATAATTAGTTAATAATTAGTTTTTTGTGGTTAAAGTTGTGCCCGATATAAACTATTCCAAGCTTTGAGACTAAATTAAGCATAAATGGAAAGTCACTGCTATATTCTCGTACTGAACATAACTTAAATTGTGAATTGAGAACAACGAGATGTGAAATACAATTTTTATACACTATTTTCAAACTTAAAAATTTAAATATTGTATACTGTACCGTATTGTATCAATACTACATTTCTACCTTATACAAATTCTAATATAATTCAATAATGATGCATAGTTAACAAAACCCGTATATTTTCGAATAAACCTTTTCTCAATTCATTTAATTCAGCAAATATTATACTAAATTAAATTATGCAAAGCTTTATACAAATAATGCAAATATTTATTGAATTAATATATGATTTTAAAAACACAATGATTTCAATTTTAAAGTGATTTAACAAAATACAAATGATTTATTAAATTCTATAATTAAAAACAAGAAAATGCTAAAAATCGAGGTCTAATTCCGATTTTTGTGATTTCAATACAAACGGACATATCTTGCGGTTAAGACATTCACCACATTTTGGTCTGAGAGCCGAACATATGGTTTGTCCGAAGCCAACGACCAATAGATTAAAGTCTTCCCAACAATCCTTTGGTAAC